TGGCATGATGAGATAGTGACTATATGAAATACATTTCCTGGAAAGGAAATGTTTCTTCTATATAAACACGCAGTAGTATACTGATGCTACAGTATCTCTGTGCAGTTTAGGTCTCGTGACCTAACAGTCTAGGCAAGAAAATAATAGAAAAATAGTATATAAATATAGTATGCTCGAATATAGTGACTTAGTCTAGGTGCTCCTTCGAGGTCCAGAACCTTACAAACCCCAAATCCTTCAGGTTTTCAGCAGTTTTTAGATAAAAATTTTGCCAACCTTTTCCAATTTTAGCATATTGAGTTACACATAGGAAAAGTCATGTGGCAAATAAAAGAGCACTTTTGTCTAAAATTTGGGGCAAAAACTCAAAAAACCCAGGTTTTGAGTCAAATTTTATTTCTATTGCCATTTGGGCAGACTGAATTTTTTCGAGCTGCGGTTGCGATATTCGTGATCAGCATCAAATTCTGAGTCAGACAACGTGTTTTTCAAAATTTTTGGACAAAAAATATTTTCGCTTATCCCTGAGGGAGACCCTTGCCGTAGAAGCAGTCCGAGAGAAGTGTAAACAAGTCATGCGGAAAACAGGATTCGATGCAGTTTTTAACGATATTTCCAATGACAAAATGTTGCGATAACGTCAGGCTTTTTCTGCTAACAACGTTTAAGAAAAAATAATAGATCTCGATTGAGATATAGAGTGTACCTCTTTACTGTATAGCAAAGTAATTTTCAAATAAACATTAGATTAGTCGTTGATCCTAATCTCACTGCTGTAATATCTTTGTGATTGTACTTTATATACGGGCTATTTATTAATCTTTAAAGACAAAAAAGTATTTTAAGCCGATCGTCTTAATTCTAACGGTTCTAGGAGATGCTTTGATGTTCTTTTCTTTCTATGTACACTATAGAGAGAGATATAAAGTAAGAAATAGAGAAAAGAACAAATTTTATCGTTTTATCCAAAAGAAAGGTTGCACTCACTATGAAATTAGTGCATATTCTCGCAACTTCCAAGATTAAAAAGTTAACAAATTTCGAAGTACCCCTTGTAACGGCTCATCGCCATTACATTGTTCTCCATGCTTGATCTTATTGCAGTTTATAGAAATTCTTAAAACTTCGAAGTTTCGCGGATTTTAGTAAGAGAGATAATAGAAGGAAGAAATTATGTATTAAATTACTAAATAATACAAGTCGTTTCCGGGGAACAACAACGAAAAACAAGTCATAATTGAAAGTAAATTTCGATTCTTTGAGGATTCTTGTCAATTTTCAACTTCAAATTCAGATCTCTCCTTGTTAACTTTTGACTTCAAGTTAACATTTCTCTCTCGTTCTTCTCACTTTTCAAATTCAAATTCACATCTCTTCTCTTCTTCCTCTCTCACATTCTGAGAAGGAGGAGCTCAATTCTACATTACATCTTCTTATCTCATTCGAGTTAAATAATTTCTCTTATTTACAAAATATAATTTAGTATTTTTGTTCTAACTGTGCTTCTTATGCCGCAATAATTTCCCTTCGCATATTCTCTTCTTCACTCCTTCTCTTCATCAACATTAGCAACTATTCAACAACATTCCATTATCAGCATTCAATTCTTACTGTTCTTCATTAATTGAAGAAGAACAGACTTTCATTACTGTTCTTCATTAATTTCATTAATTGAAGAAGAACAGACTTTCATTACTGTTCTTCATTAATTTCATTAATTGAAGAAGAACAGACTTTCATTACTGTTCTTCATTAATTGAAGAAGAACAGACTTTCATTACTGTTCTTCATTAATTGAAGAAGAACAGACTTTCATTACTGTTCTTCATTAATTTCATTAATTGAAGAAGAACAGACTTTCATTACTGTTCTTCATTAATTGAAGAAGAACAGACTTTCATTACTGTTCTTCATTAATTGAAGAAGAACAGACTTTCATTACTGTTAAAATTATTTGTATTAGTAATTAGTTGGTAATAAATTGTTGATTTGTAGAGATTCTGAACTGGGATTGTTTTGTGAGCTGTTAGTACAAGGGCACCTGACGCTTACACCCCTCTCCAGTTTTTCTGACAGTTTGAAGTACACAGCTTGTACTTTATCCGAAGCTATTTTTTAGAAAAAGGTACCGTTTAGTTGTTGAGTTATAAGGCTGCCAATATCACAGCTGAAGGTCTGAAAAAGTAGGTAACTGCGTCAATATAAAAGCCAAATGAGTTTTCAGAGAATTTTCTGAACTACCATGACTCTTCGGCTTTCTCTTCGAGCCATAGTAGTTTCATAGGATATTAGGTTCATATGCCCAAATCGTTATTTGTATGCACATGCAAGCTACAGAAATGTGACTACTAATTTAAATTAATTTTACAGGTTGCGAACGAATAAAACGAATATACAAGACATAAATTTTCTTAATGGGTTCTTCTTCTAGTCGGAGTAACATATGTATGCCACTTCTTTCTAACAACTTTAGATTGAAATTGTTCGGCTGAATGTAATCTGCCTTCATACACAAATTAAATGTCCAGATTTAAAGCATTGAGTAACGCCGGACAAATACCATAAATACCAGAAGTACCGGACAATTTTAACGAATTGAATTGATTTTTACTGATGTAAAGGGGCTTTCTTTTTAACCAGCCTTGATTAGCGATTGCGCCGAAACGAATCGTTGAATTAATGGAAGTATGGATAGTAAGCGTGGTACGTGTGGCAAAGCAAATTGTACAGGTTGGACGAGTACACGCGGGTGAACGAGTTGACGATATGACAGAGAAGAATTATTGAGTTGACGATAAAATCCAGGATTGTGTTGATGACGACGTAATTGCATTTCTTCTAAATAAAAAAAAGCAGTATCTCAGAAAGAATATAGTGACATGATATGAGTTTTAAGTCTAATGTAGAAGCGTAGAAAAGATTTGAGCTACGTCAAAGCATAAAACATACCAGTGATGAATCGACATAAGGCAGATCTATCTCCAAGTCGCTCATAATCATTTTCTACATGCGGCAAATTGACACTAGCTTGTCCATTCACATCTGCTGCTACAACAAAATCATCATCTTCATAATCGTACACTTGTGTGTTCATAAATTTAAATATTTTCTCACGATCATCAGGAGTTAATTCCATCTCTAGCAGACGATACAACTTTTGCATCATAGTGTATAAAGGCTTTTTTGCAGCGTTTGTTGAAGAAAAATAGAGGCGAGACAAAAGGTCATTCCCTTTCTCCACTCCGCACTAAAAAAGAATTTACGAATTCCTCCGTTGACACGCAGGAATCTGAAAAAATCCTGTGAATGTTTGATATATACTGCAGGTTTTTACATCACGTTACCTCGCTGAAAATTTTCCTGCAAGTTGATGAGTATAATTGAACAGAATTCTTGAACACGCTCAGTTTTCAAGTTTCTTTTCCTGGAGGATTCTTCGCTAGGCACACCATGCAGGAACTTTTACATGCGTTCATGCGATATATCTCGTAGATCCTTCACTTTGCATAGCCTGCGGAATTTTTTCCTTCCTGTTATCACTTCTAATACACAGGATATCTCAATACGCAAACCCTACAAGGTCTATAGGATTTTCTCGTGATGATAGAAAGTAGTAGCCTGTG